CTGCCAATCAGCTCGCGAGAACTGCGATGAAGTCCGTCATTCTCGCGAGCTGATTGGCAGGTTGCGGCACACCAGGATTTGCGCTACGAAGGGATGCACGTTACTACCATCTTACTTACATCCACCGCCGACCGTCTGTCCGACCACTACGACGCCAACATGGTCAAGTTCTACTCTTCTAACGAGACGTACTCGTACCCTTTCCCCGCCGTCTCGCTCGCCTACTTCCTCCGCTATCCGAACCCTTACTCCACTCACGTGCTTTCCACCGACACCATCGCCCGACACTACGACCCCGACACGCAGCGTCTAACAACTATTCGCCTCCACCTGAAACGGTCAAAGCTCCCCTCCGCCGTTCTCAAGCTTGTGCCAAAGTCTCTACTTGGCGCCTCGGCTGGCGGTGAGTCCCAGACTTACATTCTTGAAAAGTCGGTCGTGGATATTAAAGAGGGATGGATGGACACCGAGTCACGCAATCTGGAATGGACCGGTGTCTTGTCCGTCGTAGAGAGGCAGAAGTTTGTGCGTCCCTCGCCGTCAGTGTCCCAGGACATGAAGACGCGGCTGGGTACCGAAGGCGCTGCGCAACGTCATGGCTTCATCAACTTTGGCGGCAAGGGCGCTGGTGCCAAGATTGAAGACTCGGGTGAGACTACCGACGTCACAAGCTCGGTCACATTGCACAGCCACATTGGCGAGACTTGGAAAAAGAAGCGTGAAGCCGCAAGGGAGGATGCCGTCGAGGACGAGCAGCCACAAAAGATGGGTTTCTTGCGAAGCTGGGGCACCGCAGCCCTGCAGCGCAACATCGAGAAGATCGGCCTTACGCGTGCGCAGCGAAGCCAACCCAATGCGCGCGAAGGCATGAAGGTCGTCCTGGAGCGTATGCGCGAAGGCGGCCTTGTCGGGGTACTGGAGGGCATGCGACAAGACCGCGAAGCCATTCTTGCCGGCCGCCCGTTAGCGACTCCAAGGGCAATAAACAAGGACGAATAAATTGTCGGCCAGATGGTGGTCTTGGCCACTCAAACAAATGACGAGTCCCATGTTTTCGATATGAACATTCAGCGACGGCGCAACGGTCTCTCTCCCTACTTTGTTTCTTTTCGTTATCCCTTTGCTCTCAGGATTAGTTGAGGCTGGGTTCTGTGTTACTATTACGCTTCTCACGTGGTACTGTCTCTAGGTTTGGAATGATAAAAACGACATCAAAGCGACGGGCGAATCTTCTGTGTCATACGGCGAGTCTTTGTAGGCGTCATGCTTTTGCCAATCTCAACCGTACGAAAAAAAGTCTATCCCGGCGCTGCTCTCTACCATAGCTCAAGTTGCAAACTTTAACATTAGTCGTTGATCTCAATTCGTTGTTGGCACCTTCCATTTGCCTATGTTGCCCACCTGGTAGTGACATCTGGTTGCCTCTTCTGTAACGTGAACGCAACTCCAAGCAGCAACGGCCCACCTAACATCCTTCTTTTGCATTATGCTCAGTCATCTGCATTTCCTTGCGAAAGACCACCAATCCTGTTCCTATCTCAACTCGATTCCTAGTCTCGAAAACCTAATATCGGCATGTCCGCGCTACGAGATGTTCCAACTATACCGGATACCACAATGCGCACCTCTGATTACTTACTACCGCCACTGCCAGATATGGATAACCTGTGGCACTCAAAAATGAACTTTCCCGTACGAAGTAGCGATATCTCAACACCTCACGCACGGCTTGAGGAGTGCGACCGCTTTGAGAAAAGTTGGTCTGGCACCCTCAAAGATCAACCCAAGAGCTCTACTAAAGGACAGCTGTAGTTTACAAAGGATACGACGCCTACCACTCGCAAGTCCGCAAACTAGACTGGCTAAAAAGTCACCACACGTACACCACCTCCCCCGAAGTCTCAAAACACGCCGAATGGCTCATTGAAACCCTTGACGCAATCGTCGCTCGATGGGAAGAAGTCCTACCTTATATCGCAGAGCCATATCCCATACCTCTCAATAGTCCCTCCGCGTTCTCTTTCAATGCAATTCCGGAACCACCTTCTGGAAGGGAGAGCCTTGGTGTGCTACTGGAAGGCCTTGAAGGCAGAGGCAGAGCGATGATGGGTCAGCCCTTCGTAAACAACGCTGATGTCCTCGCTGAGATCGATCTTCCTGGCTTCGGAACGAGACGGGTGCTGAAGGTGTTCAAACTGTTTGAGGTGCAACAGCTTGCTCTACACTCTTGCTTTATTCGTAATCTCGTGTTGGGCCTGGATAAACTGGAGACTGCTTGCAGACAGCATGGGGTTATGTTTACGAGCGTAGGGTCTGTGTGCTCTACGGATGGGCTGGTGAATATTGAGGGAGATGTGGTGCTGGACCTCACTCCTCCTGTAACGGAAGGCAGCGATGGGCCTTTCGATGTGAGAAACCAACCTCAGCCTTGAGCGTGCTGGGACATGGCTGTTTGACGCAAGTCCGAAGTAGAACCATAGCCGTGCGTAGAGATGTGAACATCATATGTATTGTCCTTCACATGGGTCTGTGGATACGTAGGTACGTAGGCAGATGATGATGATCGAGAGAGGTGCGGGGTACCTACCTAGGTAGGGTCGAGCCTCAGCCTCAGCCGTCGACATCATCCGAGGTCTAATCGTCTTTGTGTTCAGCTGTGCAGTCAGCAGCTTCAATGCCAGCTTGCCCATTCAGTAATGATCTCTATTATTCCTCCGAATATCACTTTATATTCACTCCACAAAGCCATCGTTTCACGATCGTCTTCCCTTAACGTGTGTCCTCCACACACTACGGACTATCATTGTCATGTTGTCTATAGACAACGTGTTCGATGATGAGCGCTAGACTTCGGGCAACATCCTAGGAAATATCCGCATACCATCTGCCTCATTCAGCGCTTCACGATCCAGATTTCTGATCATCATCACGCCACTCTACCGATTCAACTTAGAATTCTTTTTGAAGAGAATTCTACTCCGGTATCTATAGCGTGGACGTCGTAAGAATTCATGCATTCTCTCTGCAGGATTGCGAAACATGTATCTCATCAACACCACCACTATCAAGATTCGCCTGTTTATTTGTATAATCCCCAAATATGTCATCTTGTCACATACCTGGGGTGAAGACGAAGTCACATTCGAAAGCATGCAAAGGCCTAATGAACGCACGAAAGCCTTGAGGGGTTATATGAAGATCAAGAGATGCTGTGAGCAAGCGAAGCAAGATGGCTATCGATGGGCCTGGGTAGATACTTGTTGCATCGACAAGAGAAGCAGTGCTGAGCTCTCAGAAGCAATCAACTCAATGTACAGGTACTACTGGGGGGCTGAGAAGTGTTACGCATATCTCACCGATGTTGGTGATGAAAACTCTGGAGACGTGAGAGACAATCTCACCGATGTTAGTGACGAGAGCTCTGGAAACGGGAGGGAAGAAACAGCTTCGTCTCCAACAGTGCCAGGTATTGGTGAGAAGCGGGGATGGGAGTACATTATCTATGAGAGCAGTGCAGACTCCTCACACGATATTGATGTGGGCAGTGACGACGCCGTATATGACCCTCAAGAACCGAGTGTCGAATTGCCGCGGTCTGTTCGGCCAGAGAGAGAGATATTCCAATTTCTCAACTCAAGATGGTTCAAGCGAGGCTGGACACTTCAAGAGCTCCTTGCTCCAGCAACGCTTGAGTTCTATGATCAGGAGTGGAACATGATTGGCACCAAATTCAGTTTGGCAACTTTCATCCAAGTAGCCACCGAGATCCAGGCGCAGTACATTTTAGACAGAAACGCTATGAAAGGGGCAAGTATAGGACTGCGACTCAGTTGGACATCTCAGAGGGATACTACACGAGACGAGGATCAAGCCTGTTGTTTGTTCGGGATCATGGGAGTCAACATGCCGCTTCTCTACGGAGAAGGAAAGCGGGCGTTCTACAGACTGCAAGTCGAACTTCTCAAGAACACAATGGACCACACCATATTCGCTTGGTCATTAGGCCCTAGTTCTAGCCTTGAAGCAAAGAACCCATGCCGATTCGTCGGCATCTTAGCGACAACACCAAGGGATTTCCAAAGCACGCAATTGGCCGACATCCGGCCAGGTCTACCGCAGACGATACAAGGTAGTACACATGATGTTACAAATGCAGGACTTCGTATCGTTCTCCCTTGCGTCGCCGAAGGACCTGACACGCTCCTCGCACTGCTGAATTGTCATCACGACAAAACTGGGAAGCTTTTTCTTCGATTAAGACGACTGGACGATCAGCGCTTTATGAGACATCAAAACCAAGAAATGCCTACTTCAACCTTCACTCAAGATATGGAACTAAAAGGTAAGGAATTATATATACTCATGGAACCAGAAACTACCTTAGGTCTCAAAAGCCTCGCTGAGGAGATTGTGGAACAGTCATGTGCACTGGTTGTTGGCAAATTGGATTTCGCAGGAACGGCAGTTGATGAGGTGGTGGCTTTTCATCGAGATTTCAGATCCAAGTCAGAACTGTGTTGGGGAAACCATTTCGATGTGTCGCCCTTCACATATCTACTACCACTCGATAGCGTGGGAGTGGGAATCGTCTATGATGAAGTTAGTCTCACGATCATCTTTGGTCATCGACATGGGAGTCCATGGTTGGATGTTGTTATACCGAGTGGGCAAGAGTTGTTGTCCACAGTCTCATCAGGGCCTCGACACAGACTGAAGACGGATCCGGAATTCAGAGAACACATCGTAAACAAAATGAGGGACCTGGAAGTAGAAATGAGAGTGGGTTTACCTTCAGAATTTTGCCGAGATCATGCAGTAGTTTATACCGATTCGACCGATACACTTGAGGTTCAGGTCAGAAGGACGCTGGCAGGCGACCAATTGCGTACCTGCTGGCAGATAGGAGTGATAAGGCGTCTTTGATACAGGTTACATAACAAGTACCGACAGCAATATATGACAAGTGGTTTCTACACCAACAGATCTTGAGCGACTGGAATTCAGGCAGGCAATAATATCTAGACATACGTGTATTCAAATAGCTGATGATTCTACAATCAGTTGATGACATGATGACGTCTAGGCATATGCTAATCTCTCCTCGGTCCATCCCGGTCTCAAGTACTCGGAGTCAAAGCTCGAGCTCCAACTGCTCTCAATAGCGTACTCCTGCACAAGCTGCACGTCAACCTGCGCACCCTCCTCGGACTGCGCCCACACGCTCAGACCAATCACGTTGTCACCTGAGTAGTTAAGAATACCTGGTGGGACGGGGAACTTGATCTCGTTTCCAACATACGGGTTGAATCGCGCGTATTGGTAACCATTGACGAAGAGCTGTGCGCGGATAGTCTTGGAGCCAACGGCGTTGATGACGAAAGCGAAGGAGGCATCGATCTCAGCCGGGACGTCGAGAGGGATGGTGGTACGGTAGAATTTGATGTCGGCACCCTCGAAACCGGCAGATGGGGAACCGGACTCCCATTCAGAGTCATCAAAGCCAGGAAGATGCCATCCGAGACGCTCGGCGGTGAGACCACCCTCAGCGAGAGGTCCACGTACGGGGTCGAGGAGTTCAGTTTCACCACCGGCTTCACCAGCGATCTTCCAGGACGTGAAGTTTGCGCCTTCCAAAGTAGCACCGAGGATACCGCGGGGATCAGTAGCACCGCCACGTAGATCGTGTCCGGTGTTGTCTTGTGCGACGAGCAACACGTTGGTGCCGTTCTCGTGAAGAGTTGCATTGGCAAAGGACAAGGTCATGTTTCCGATGCCCAGGGTGGTGTTACCCAACCACGAGCCGACCAACTCGCCGTTCAACCATGCGCTCCAGCCAAAGGCGAGACCGCCCTGAACGGAAAGCTGCACACCAGTGGCTGCGCCGTCGAAGTAACCGCGGAAGAGATGGAAGCTGTTGTGGAAACCGTACTCGTCCACGTAGAGGACTGGCAAAGTCTTAGGCTTGGTCGGGTTGGGAGTGGTGAGATGGTCAGCGACAA